AGTACCGTAGGTAATTGGGTATTAGATGTTACATAAAGGATAGAATTTAAGTGTAGGCTTGAATACATAGAAAGTTTCCGAAATGTTTCATACGTAAGAGAACAAAAAGTCGAAGGAAAAAAAAACAGAGGTTTTCCTAAGTGTATGTCGCCTTAAGGTGTAATATAGATTTTTGCGAAGGTTCTGTGCATAATGTAAAAAACTGCAAAACTATGACTATGACTCGATTATCGATATTATACGGCATCGTGTACAGCGTTGTATTCATTTAAATAGAGTTATTATGCTCGAAATGCGGATTAACACGACGCGCGCTGTGTAATATATATAATTTAAACTTTTTCTTAGCCCCTCAGCCGGTCCTTCAAATTCGCGAGTATGTCAGAAACATATAAAGTATGTATATCAATTACAGAGTTAAAGAGAGAGAGACAGAGAGAGAGTGAGAGAAAGAGAGTGCGTGTGTAAAAGAGAGAGAGAGAGAAAAAGTGAGAGATATAGAGAGAGTTAACGAATTTGTTTGTATACAGCATCACAGAACAAAGGGACAATTTACAAGTCACATTTAAATAACGATTACGGGCAATCCATCCAGGTTTAACTTACATTCATTATTGACGACTATTGGATACACAGTTTTCCCAAGCATCGTAAGACAATAAAAACCATACATATCGATTTCTATGAAATTGTTACACTTATTTAGGTGCACTTAGTGTGTGTTGGTACACTAAAGATTTATTTAATTTTTTTTTCATGATCGCCAGCATTGAACTCAACTTCGCATCATTAATATATATATACCTAATATAAAACAAGAACACAACAAACTTTCTGGCATACACGATACATCTTAGCGCGTAAGATCGTATGTCAAATTAGTTTTTTTTCCCCTTCGTTACGTTCGGCTAAATACCTCACCTATCTTTCTTTATATTTCTCTACACAATTTTTGTTCGTCATTGTCTTATCTCCCGTGATAAGTAAAACAGCAAGTCAATAGTACCAATGAGTGTCTGTCTCTGTACGTGTATGTTGGTCTGTCTGTGTATGTGTGTGTGCGTGTGCGCGTGTGTGTGTATACTTTTACTCTTTTACTGGGAGCGGCAGTTTTGCTTGTAAAACAAATTTCCATTGTATACAAAATGTAATTTCTCTTACAGACGGCGACGTGATTTAAGGTATTCCATGTAGCGTGTGTGAAGGGAGGAAGAAAAGATGGTAGAACATAAAATAAGAATTCAGTTTATCCGCTCTTGAAAAGGAGGATGGCTACCTGGCCCAGGTAGAAATAAATAAAATGTCTTGTTTCATGCGTCACGTAGCTGCCGAAGTTACGTCCTACGATGCAATGCCACGTTGGATTGTACTTTTTGTCAAATTCTTTTTTGATGAAGGCTGCAATGTCCTGGAAAGAAAAGTACGATCCATCAAAATAAAATTCTATGACTACGGTTTGCCTAGTGTCCGCTATCGTAATACGTCCTATCAAACTTTCCACCTATACGGAGGTATCACAGATTCGTGTACCACGCGTATTCATACACATCTGTAACTCCGCTCTATATCAACCGTTAACGTACTTTTTCAATGTTGTATTTCTCGAGTGCTTGAGTCGCACAGTCCACGGCGTCCTGCTGCATATCCTCTGACATGTCAGCGTTCTTGATTACAGCCTTTCGATCAGACATTTTGGTTTTTCTGAAAGCCACGACAAAATGAATAAATACATCCATGGTACTCGGTTCCACCTAAGCAGAGCTGACAGAATCTATGCATGTTTAATGAAACACAATAGAAACGAAACATCTATCGACTGTACTTCGCAAGAGCTCTCATTTGTCAATATCCAACAAAGACCAGACAGACCCGTTTAACTTTTTACTCCAATACATATGGTACGAGTAAACATTCCCTTGAGGATCTTATATTTCCCTCAACGCGCTAAGGCATCTGGTTTTCTACCATCAGCTGTGCTTGTTGGAACAATAAGTCTCGATACCACTGAGAAACGCTTCAAAGCATAGAAGAGAGTTGCTGCCAATAAGAGTTATGTTGACACGGTAGGAAAGAAAGAGATGGGTAAATATAAAGAGAGAAGGAGGGGGAGAGTTATACAGTAAGAGAGAGAGAGAGGGAGACAGAGGGAGGGAGAGAGAGAGAGAGAGAGAGAGAGGGAGAGAGAGAGAGAGTACGAGAGAGAGAAAGACAGAGAGAGACAACTGATTTTGAACCTGGACAGAGGAGCACAAGCGATTCTGACAGTAGCATAAACGTCATGTGCCGGCATGACAATAGCCGAGTACACAGAACAACATAAATCGGTTCGGATTAATTAATAACCGCGATATCTTGATAAGAAATTACGGGAACGGCGACAAAGGTGAAACGCGAGAGGATAATGTTTTGTCGATACGAGGCGACGATAAGAATAATAATCGGACCGCACGCGATCCTCCGGATATCACGTACAGACTGGAAAATCCACGTTCCCTAATGAAGCTGCTAGCCCACCAAGAAAATACCGCATCGAGAAGCGAGCTTGACGTATAAGCTGTCTGTTTTCCGGCCGCGAGCGAGGAATACCATTTCGAATGGAATAACAATTGGACATACCTGAATTGACACTCTCACCAGCGAGCACGGGGGAATACAACAGCTCCGTTCGACCACAGACGGTCACACGTACTTCCTTCTGTTTATTATTCTACGTGAACTTGAATTTTTCCACACTGAGAATTTTGTTTCGCTCGAACCGGCAGCCCGACTATTCCTCGATCGAGTTCAAGACTGAAGTGGCTGGTGCTGCGATCCTCGGCTCGTGATTGGTCCGCGATTAGGGTCTTCTATCACGGTCTTCTATCAACCCAGAATGCTTCGGTGCTAGCAACCCGCGTAAACATGAATTTCGAGAAATCGATAAGGAACATTTTCAAACAGTTCCGCCTCGTTTTTTTTTATCCTCCTCGATGCTTCATCGGGCTCGGCAATTTACGGGCTCGTGCGAGTCTATTTATTTATTATAATCGTTCGTCCGTAGAACTTCGTGAAAATTTCCATCGAGTTTGAATACGTACATAATGTAACAACGAGAGAGTGATGCGCGCGCGCACGTTCATGTGCGTGTGTAGTATAAATGCACGTTGCGACACGAACAAATTTTCAAATGGGAAAAATGTTGCCTATAATGTTAGTTTTAAATGGCAATTGCTATTGTAAATATCGTGAATTTATTTACATGTATATATATATGGATGATTTTCTGTAGAATTTTGTTTATTTTTAATCATTTCATTATGGGTGCCTTTGTATTTAATGTAAATGAAACGAATGCTTCTGTTGGTGCATTCGAGACGGCAATGATTTAAAATAGTTATATAATGAACAATTTCATCTATATGCCGAGGAATATATTACATTGCAAATAACGACTCGAAATGCATAGTTGGCCGCACGCAAAAATGCAGTTTATATGTCGGTTCAAATGTAAATCAGGGTAATTTAAAAGTCAATATTGGTAATGACATCGCCAATGTCAACGAATATTTTTCTAACCGTGTAACATTGCCATTCGTGACACGAATTTCGGAAGGCGGCAAGACGGAAAAGACGAAAGGAATACAACGCCAGGCATAAATATTGAATTCAATCTTATAAACAATTACACTCGTCGAAAACACCTATATTACTAAAAGCATTTCAAACGACAATCCATTCGACGATACATTCCAATTTATCGATATTGACTTACCTTCGCATCGATGATCTCCTTATAAATAAATAACTGCTTCCACTACAAGATGGCGTTGGCAGGAGAAACTTCGCAGCACCAAATCCACGATCCAAAACCGTTAAATTCTTTTATTACGTGTATACTTAATAAACATTTATTTATTCACATGTACACTTAATTTATGTAAAATTACTACTCATTTAATTTCCCTTAAACAAGTTATAATAAGACTCCTACATAATACGAGCTGAATATCTTTTCAGCAAAAAGTTAAGCGATAAAGTTAAGTTTCCAATAATATATGCACCTTATTTTGTGCGACGTAACGAAACCGAATTTTTTCTTATCGAACGATTCGTCAAATATCCCGCACTATCGACGCACACCATCTACAATACACCGTCCAATTCACTAGTCAAACACCACGGCCACATTGTGGCCAGATGTGCCCAATAGTCTCTTCTTGTAAGGATCGGTGGCGGCACCTAGCGGAGAACGCTCGAACTACACACCCCAGTCAGTAGCAGACCGCGCGGCGCCATCTAGCGAATACAATTTGTTACTACTCGGTCAGAAGTTTCAGCGTTTCCCGGGTAGGTGGCGCCACCAAACGACTACGTCCATACGCGAATCCATCCGAAAATCGCTGATAACTCATTAATTACAATTCGAATATGATTCAAACCACCAGTGAATATTCCTAAGGGTCCATTCTAATTTCCCCAATCTCCAATGTTCAGCAATTACGCCTGACGAGCGAGAAACTTAATGACATATCGGGCACATGGCGAAGAATTCTAGGCTGGCTTGTGACATCGTCTCGGGGAATAATTAATAAAGAATTAACAAGGCTGAAAATCCTAATGAAAGTGATATGGGAAAGTAGGGGAAGGACCATTCTATGATTCTAAGTTCCAAATGTCCACGAATGATTCGTGGTGGTCGAGTTACTAATGAATTCGTTGTTGTTTTCTCCGAATCTACGTGTCGCGTTTAGTTCCTACCTTTCACCGCTAGATGGCGAGACTTTAAATGTTATCCTAGAGACCTCCTTGGTCCTGATGCTTCGCGAGTACGCACCAGGGACCGATGAGATGCTTTTTCCAAGGAGGCGGCAAGAGAGAGAGACTATCTCTATCCTTGTCGCACACTGTCTCTGTCCTTGTCTTACACATTGCGGGTATAGGGAAAAGCTTCGAAAACGCCCAACCGCTGTGGTGTCGGTGCTGCAACAGAAATCATCTAACTAACATCACTAAACAAATTAACTCCCAACAATGATACATCCATGTGTAAGCATAATTATGCAAGAATTATCTATAAATTAGGTATACACTCAGGCTAATAGACTTAATAAGGTTTAAGGCGTTTATTAATAAAAAAAAAATCGTTTATATTTGACTTACTCATTAGAAGGATGGGGAAATGTACAAGGAGACTCACAGTTGTTTTATTATGTTACCACTGATAGTCTTTTTACGAATGATTTGATAATGATTTTTTAGTAATTGTCCCAGGACAATTAACATTGTGATAGACGTAATCGATGAAGTTTTGTAACTAATGAAATTAGAGCACACCGGTTTGCATGTTCTGAATCTCTGAGTGTACATAGTATTTCTTTATATGTTTATCGATTGCAAACAGTTTACTATGAGTGTGTCTATTGTTATGTTTATAGAGAGATTATTGAATACTTGATAACAAGTATTAAATGCTTGCTGGTACTTTAAGAAAGCGTCTAATCAATAGTAATGAGATTTAATGAAAAGTCATTAGGAGTAATGTTTATACGACGTTACGCATTTGTTTACCTCTGGAAACCTACAGTCGGCGTCACGTTTATGTGATTTCATTGCAGTATAGTATATGTATATATATATGTATGCATGTATATTTATATATAAAATCTGCTGCCATCCGAATGCCTGTCAACATTTGACGACAGAGGACTCTTGGTTTACTTTGTGATCTGACAATAATTTATCGGAGCCCTGAAGAGTCGAGGTTATTGTTCAATTTGGTTGTTTGAAATGTTTAAAAAAAAACAACTGTAATAAGAAGTTGAATCGCGAACGATCGTTGCGACCGTGGATATACTGAAACATTTTGTACGTTGTATAGTGGTATCGTTGTTATTGGTTTACTTGTCAAAATGACATCGAAGACAGAAGCTACCCTGGAACATTTTTATATATTTAATGGGACGTACGCGAAAAAAGAGGGGGAGGCAAGTACATGTAATTCGACGATAAAACATTTAAAAAACTGTGATATCTTCGATCTATATAGGTATAATGTGTAAACAAGTCACCGTGTGTCCTCTGTGCAGGAAGAGAAAAAGATTCTCTATTATTATCCAGAAAGGGATTTGGATGTTCAGATTAAGAACATAGGACTCAGCGAAGCGATAATTAAGTTTGCAGAGTACGTGCATACATGCGTATAATTTAACTATTACGATTACTTCACTCGCTACGTTTCCTATCGGATACATAAGTTATTTTATCGATGCCTTTAGATCCTTCAATCCTGGACAACCTTGTGATTATTGTCACACTCATAAAACTCGACAAATATATTATCAACCTGAACCAAATTTTTGGATGGTAATGGTAAGTCTCGTATTCTGAATGACAATAGAAATATATATATACGTATTTTGTATAATTTTACATGTACACGACGAATCCATAGATCGTGGGTCTACCATTCATGTGCAAAGAGAAAGATGGCAATAAATATATAGAATATCAGCACGACGAAGTGTCCAGCATTGTTTGCCAAGCTATATTGAAACAAGCTTATGTTATGTTTAGGTTGTTCATGGGCTCGTTTGAAACAATCATTAACGAGCCAGAATGTGGCTCTATAACATTACTGAAACATAAACTTGAACACTTTTATTCTAGGGTAAATATACATCCATTGATCTACAGAAATTATGTATTATTCTTGCCTATACTATTCTGAAACTGTTCGTTTTCTTTACAGTATTTATTGTCCCTCAAATTACACAACAGCGACATTCTGGACGTTTTTCAAGGTTTACAATTTCTACCTCTAGATAAGATAACGTTTTTGCGGGTGCAGTGCTTTATGAATCTCATTGAAGCTATGTTTTCTCAAGTCAAGTATACAGCTTTCCTGTACAATGATCAAGTTGTATGGTTAGTGAGATATTAATATCACAATGTATCATTATAATCCACTGTAATAGTAAAAGTAATATTATATCGCTTCACAGGAGTGGTTTAGAACCTGAAGATATGCAAGTGGTTTATAATTATTTGGTGGGGACACTTTTACAGGCTCATCTTGAGAAAGAACTGCACGGTGGTTCAATGCCTAGGAACTCTCCATCGCCGTTTACTACTTCGCATTATGGAAAGTTAGTATTTGCTAATTTATTCTTCCATGTATAATACTTAACAATCAAAATATTCGTTCTACAGATTCGTTACTGGTTCATCTAATATCAACGAACCGAATTTAATTGGGAAATCCCCGACAGTATTCATAAATTATTCCACAAAACCGATTTCTTTATACTTGGTAGTATACAGAGCCTTGAGCGCTACAATATGTCTTTTCGTTGACAGTGAGTATATTGAGAATAACTTCTGGCTCAACAATTTCATGTACACAGAATTGAAACGCTTTCTTCGCAGGTAAAACAAGCTTGTTGATAGATTTCTTTAAAAGCCTCGACAATTTCCTCGGTCCACAATTAACCACTCTCGTTAGCTCAGTCGCAGAACAATGCGCTAAACACGTAGTAGTCACACCTGAGTCCTGTACAAAGTACCTCTATTTTAATAAACTCAATTTAGCGTATAAGAGTACGATACACCTGGATAACAGACGATGTTCTAATGTACTTACAACACCTGAAGTGTTGAGGGTTATCACTGATATATACAATGACACGAATAAGTTAGTATATCACGTTAGATTAAGCACTATCTATTCTCCTTATTGAAATATATACATTTTGCCCCTTTATAGATTAAAAGAAGCCGGTGAAATAGTTATAAAAACTATGAGCGGTTATTGGGTCGTAGGAAAGTTATCGAACCTGAGAGAATTTTTCGTAGTTATTCAGCAAAAGAGTGCAAATTTTATTGAGATAGAAGGTATGTAGAGAACTTCGTTACTATTGGTTAATCTACCACTTAACGCGATCATTTTGTTTCAGAGGAGGTGAAAAGACTGTGCGACAAACAATTGAAAAGTATATTTTTCCATTAACGAACAAAGTATCGTATAGCTCAGTGAAATTTTCCATGATTGTTAAATCGTTTCAATCGTTTACGAACAATATGTATCACAACATGTATCATTGTATTCATAGAAGACCACATAATTTATACATAAAATTTATTGTAAAATATAAATTCTGTACATACGTATTTATATATTTTTAATATATTTCAAACTGTTTAATTGGTGGAATTCTCAAATATTTCAGTTATTAATATAAAAATACTCACTAACTTTAATCTATCTTGCTTAATGTTAACCGAACGATTCTTCTTTTTCCTCTGTCTCTTTCTTCTTTTGAACGATATTGGAAAATTTTTTTAATTTCGCTACAAAGAATCCGTCCATGTTGTGCACATGCGGATAAAATCTTTTTGTCAACTTCAGCGAAGGATGAAATCTGTGTTGCCTGTAGCTAGTAAAACCCTCCGCGCCGAATTCTAACCCAGTAGGGATTACTTTAACGTCGCGTTTCTTAAGAGCATAATCTACCACCCACTCGTTCTCCTCTGGAAGAATCGAACACGTAGAATAAACAATAATTCCACCTGATTCTGAACGAGCGTTCGCACAGTCTATAGCTGCTAACAGTAACTCTCTCTGTAACGTGCAACAACGTTGTATGTGTACTTCATCTTTGCTGGTTTTAACGCTAGGATCTTTGGAGACAACGCCGGTCCCAGTGCATGGTGCATCCAATAAAACTCTGTCGAAACCTTTAATAACCTGAAATTTATGGAGTTCGTTCAATGTCCTTATATCAGTATACACAATGTATCGATTATATTAACAATAGTTATTCACCGAGGGTAGTTTCCTCCCGTCGTAAGTACAAATGACAGAGTTCACGATACCGAGCCTATGGAAATTACCAACTACAGCCTTTATCCTCTCCTCGTTCACGTCATTTGAGAAAAGTACACCCGTATTTTTCATGAGTGCTGCTATATGCGAAGATTTTCCACCAGGAGCAGCACACATATCCAAAATCCTTTCATTTTCCTTCGGCTCCAAGGCCATGACTGGTAAGAAACTAGATGCGCCTTGTAAAATGTAATGCCCTGCTAGATATTCTGGTGTTGCACCCATCGGTACTTGAGAGGAGTACACTACCAGTCCAACTTTAGTCCATTTGCCTATCGGATCTAGATTGACTCCCCTATTTATCAAAGCCTGAAAGACGATTGCTTATAGAAGACTGAGGGACACTATAATTTCTTTAATTCGATTTGAATAATACTTCTGCTAAATCACGCCGACGAGTCTTCAACGTGTTTGCTCGTAGCGTCATAGGCCTCTGCACCTCACTTGCTTCTAAGAATTCTAACAGTTCATCCAATGGAAATATCTGCATCAGTTTTTCCATTAAGAAATCGTTATAACTGTAGTATATACATAAATCTTTTCTAAGCAGCTCCATGTATTCTGAACGTGATCTACAAAATAAATAGAAATATAAGTCCCTTCTAGAAATCCTAAGTTATTTAATAACATACCTATTCGCATCGCGTAATCTTTTGAAATCTGACAATATCATAACAACGTCTTTTATACGCTGCTGGATATCTTTAAGATTGGTAGTGTTTGCAAGTTCTTCCTCGGTAGGAAAGGTAAAGACACATTGTTGCGTAATCATATCGTTAATTTCCTCTTCTGCCATTTTTCTGAAAAGGAAATATACAAATTTTAATTTAAATTCAATATAAAGAGAAATATTTAAATCTAACGATTTGAGAGTGATATTTACTGCTCTTCTGCTTGTTTCTTCTTTAATTTTTTGTTTGCTTTTTCTATGGGTAACAAATCATCATCTTCATCTTCATCTTCACCATTGTCATCATTGTCATCATCACTATCTTCTTCACTCTTGTCTTCACCTTCCTTTTGTTCTTCATTCTCACCCGTATCTTCGTTCTCGGATCCGTTACTTTGATCAATTTCATCGCTTTCTATATTATTGCTATCCTCTGTATCACTATCTAGTAATTTCATTTTTGTATTCTTTTGCATTATATTCTTCGCTACTTTCTTTCTCTTGGATACATTATTATAATTGTCAGATTGTATTTGACTATCTTCTTCACTTGTATTACCATTTGTAATTAATGCAGATTTAACAAATTTCTTCTTCTTTTTCTTCGTTGGTTGTTTAGCCACATCTTTGACATTCTAAGATAATATAGAACATATGCATAATCATATTATTAATAATACAAGCGGTTTATATTAATAACAAAGCTTACATTTTCAATTATCACACCTTTTGTTTCTTCGTGTTTCTTTTTCTTTTTTTTCAGTAACTTCGATACATCTTTTACAGTCTAACAAAACAGAAAACACATTTAATCAGTATTTCTTAGTAATACAAAGGTTCTCTGATATTAAATGAAAAATCTTATATTTACATTCACCGTATCTTCTACTTCTCCTTGTTTTCCTTTCTTCAAGTTTTTCACGTGTTCCTTCAGCTTTTCTTGTTTCAATAGTCTTTTCTTTGCACGTTGCCTTTGCCGATGACTTAATTTATTTTCTTCTTTAACTATGAAATGCAGTTTATGAAACATTACCATTACCAAAAAATGTTTAAATAAAAATATTATAACACACACATGTTGAACATGAAACACAATGTTGTATGTATATTAAAAAAATAAAATACTGTTGAAAAACTTTTCTAGTGGAAATAGAAATAGAGTTGACTAAAAGATACATACCTAGAATTCCTTTTGGGAATGTTGGATCGCCTTGCTTTTTCGCTTTTTTCCCACGGCCAGTCGGAACGGTCGTCCCATCGAATTTTGCTTTTCGTCCCATTTTATTTTATATCTTATAATTTAAACTCTTCACAGGAAACACACGTGAGATTTAACCTATCATCTGTATTTACCAGAGCATTCAACCATGTGCGCGCGATTAAAATTTTGTAGGTGTGACCAACCTGAAAATAATGAATACATGAGATGCCAGGTAAATTAAAAATTTTTACAAAGAATCTTTTAATACTCTAGATATTTTTCAATTATAATTTCAAACTACAGAATACAAACAAACCGTAAATTAGAAAAGGAATACTACATTTTGGGATTTTAAAGAATACATAGGAAAATTTTGCATAGATCTACAAAATGTCCCTATAACGTATCAGAGAAATGTCTCTTTCTGTTAATACACGTGGTACTTTGTGGACCATGTTTTGTATATTCTCTAATACGTTTTAAGTAAATACTTACAGTATTTGTAAAAAGAATGGGGCTGATAAAGCAAGAAGCGCATCGACCAGGTGCGTTTAAGCAAACGAATAAACCACACAAAACTGGAAGACATCGCAGCAAAGGTTCTATAAGCGCCGATGTTAAAGGTAATGTTTATCAATTTTGTGATTCAATGTTATCATTTTTGACTTTCTCCTTTAAGTGCCATACATTTGATTTTTTAGGGAAAGTTAGCGTGAAAGTTCTATCGAAACGCGCGCACAAGGATCTTGGAAAAGAAGCTAGAAGACATCAGTTATCTCAAATTAGGAAAAATAAGAGAGAGAATGTATTGCAACAGAAAAGAAATTTAGGAGGATCTAATTCTGCTCCAATCCTTATATGTGTAGTACCATTGCAGAAGGACTTAGATCTTCAAAAAGTCTTATCTGTCATAACGAAAGTGGATGAGACTGCAACCGTAACTACCAGCCCTTGTGGCTCAACACACATAAGGTATATTGCATGAAATGATAAACTACATTAATGAAAATGTATGTAATTAATTATTGAATTGTTTGTAACAGTATACCTAGATTTAAACAACGATTTTCCATTATTGTGCCACCAGTTGGTGATATATTTGCTACATTAGACGCAGCAAAAGTAGCTACAACTATTCTTTTCGTTGTCTCCACTTTAAATCCATCGGATAATAATCTAAGGAAAGAAATTGTTGATCAATGGGGGGAAGAAATCATTATGTCTTGTATTGCTCAAGGTATGACTACTTCGGTAGTTGCATTAATGAATCTTGAGGATCTTCACTTAAAGGTATTGTACTGCAACTTATTGTGATTGGTATTAGAGAATATAGTATTTGTTTCTCACATAAATTCAATTGCAGAAACGTCAGGATTACAAGAACCGTGTACAGACTACAATCAACAAGTGGCTCCCAGAAGCAAAAATTTCTCAGTTGGATACAGCTACAGATGCTCTGAATGTTTTAAGGCGAGTTGGCTCTCAAAAACAGAGAAGTGTGGCTTATAAGAATAAAAGACCTCATTTGTTAGCTGAAGAAATAAAGTTCAATTGTAATGAAGTAAGCTGGAGATTAATTAATGTTCATAATGACAAAACTGTAAGAGATAAATGATTTTGTTTTACTTAGGACTCCAATGAATTGGGTTCTCTCATAGTATCAGGGTATCTTAGAGAGATACCATTATCAGTTAACAGGTTGATACACATACCTGGACTTGGGGATTTTCAAATGTCCCAAATCGATGCTCCTGAAGATCCATATCCATTGGAAACAAAGCAAAGAAAATCCAATGATGCAATGGATGAAGAAATATCCATCAGAGTCTTAGAACGTGCAGATCCAAAGAAACAAGTAACTCTACCAACAGAAATAACAAAGTAACATAGTTTCAATAATTAAACATACAGTTCTACTTTTTAGGAATCTCTTGACAGTGAAAATGCACCTGATCCTATGGACGCCGAACAAACGTGGCCCACGGAGCAAGAACTAGCTGAAGCTGAAGCCTTGAGAAAGAAGAAAATTATGAAGAAAGTACCGAAAGGAACTTCCGTGTACCAAGCAGCCTGGATCCCTGACGAGGACGGAGGTACCATCGATTAAATTATATTTACAAAAGTATACGTTCAATATATTTACGTAATATTTCAGAGGAAGTGGACAACGAGTGTTCAGATGATGAATCGGAAGATCAAATGTCTTTGGATGAAGCAAAGTCTCAAATAGACAGTGACATGGAAGCAGAAGAAGAAGAGAACGAATATGAGACAATTACAGTCTCAGAAGCTGCTTTAGATGAGCAAAAATATGATCAAGATATTGACATGGTAGAGGAGAAAGCAGCTATAGAAAAATTGAAATGTACGTTCATTGCACAAAGAGAAACTTTTCTTTAATTATGCAACTGAAATACTTTGTTCCAAATATAGTGGCAAAATTGGATGCACAATTCCCCGATGAAGTAGATACACCTCAAGATACATTAGCAAAAGTAAGATTCCAAAAATACCGTGGATTGGAGTCGTTCAGAACAAGTCCATGGGATCCAAAGGAAAATCTGCCCATCGATTATGCTCGAATCTTCCAATTCGAGAACTTTGATAGAACAAGGAAACGCATATTCAAAGAATCATCGGAAATAGAAGGAGCTATGGTAAGCTATGATAAATCAATTATTAAAATTATTTACTAAACAATTGTATATTCATTCTAGCCTGGCTGGTATATCACGATTCACGTTGCAAACGTTAGCCGTGATCGTTTCACTGCATTCTGTGCAATGGAAAATCGTCCACTGATAATCTTCGGTCTATTACCAAACGAACAGAGAATGTCCTTTGTAAATTTGGTATTAAAACATTCTAATACAAGTCCGCAACCAGTCAAATCTAAAGAGCGATTAATATTTCAATGTGGATTCAGAAGATTCAGTGCGAGCCCAATATTCAGCCAACATACAAATGGGAGTAAACATAAGGTATACTTATTTAAATGATTGCTTATAACTTCTATATCATCTTAATCTGTAAAACTGGAATTTCCTTTTCAGTACGAACGTTACTTTCGACCTGAAATGACTGTTGTAGCAAGCATGTATGCGCCGATTACTTTTCCACCTTGTCCAGTTTTATGCTACCTTGAAAGACTGAATGGATCATTGGTAAGGATCAACGACTTGTCTAACCATACAATCATTTAACTACAATGCATGATACTTGAACAGGAGCTGATAGCAACTGGTAGCGTATTATCTGTAAATCCAGATAGAATTGTAGTGAAGAGGGTAGTTCTTAGTGGTCACCCTTTCAAGGTGCACAAACGATCAGCTGTTATAAGATTTATGTTTTTCAACCGGGAGGACATAAATTGGTTCAAACCAGTCCAACTGCGAACGAAATATGGTCGTAGGGGACACATAAAAGAGCCGTTAGGTAAATTATTGCATAATTAGTACTCTCAGTGTTAAATTGGATAGAATTGAATGGTTGTTAATCTTGTTTGAAGGTACACACGGTCACATGAAATGTGTATTTAACGGGCAGCTGAAATCGCAAGATACAATTTTAATGAATTTGTATAAACGAGTTTTTCCAAAGTGGACGTACGAGCCGTTATTAACGCAGTCGTCCCATCGAGAAGAAGACATAAATATGGAATGAAACGTGTTTCCTAATATTTAAATGTACATACAACAAACACATATAGAAGCTTCTATCGAATAAAATGCTTTCCTAACTTTAGAAATTGTGGTTATTATCTTGAACACTCTCAGCGTTCAGTTATGTATTTCGGTTTTCAATTTGAATATGCCCACCCTATGATTGATAGGTCGTGTCACGTGTCACGGATTGTATCCAATCGGTTTTGTTTAAAAACATTTTTTTGTACCGCTAGCATTCTCGTCAAAGACGTAGGCTACTAATACAACTGTCGGTAATAATTCTGGTTAAACACTTCAGAAACTATTTGAGAAACAGATGGATTTAGATGGTGCTTACATTGGTAATTACACAAAGTTTGTCATAAATTTATATTGATAAATTGTAAATATTAAAGATAGAAGACGAACGAATTTTCATTCTGAAACAAATGTTTCTGGTGTACAGAACCCTTGCTCGACGAATGGCTAAAGGATCTACAAACAGTCATTAAACAAGAAGAGGACCTTGTTAAAGCTAATGATGAATTTTACATGCCATTTGTAGGTAATTATACGAATACCTATTCTTCAAGCAATAGTTTCTATATTTACGAATCTGCATAAAGATTTTAGCATTGCATGCGTACATCAGATTATCTTTACAGCACTACCAATTTCAGTTGTCAGTGTCATTTTTAAGTTATCAGACTACCTGAATTTGGATTCACATACCAGATATATTGCCATTCATTTGTATGACAAATTTATGTGCAAGTATTTTTGGCAAGTGTACAAAGTCGATATCACAAATCACACAGACAGTTCTTGGACTCAAGTATGCAAAAAGATATCCGGTCAATCGAAATTGTACCTTGTTTGCTGTTTGCAGTTAGCTAGTAAAATGGACTCGCATTCTAAGAAATTAGGAATTTCTCAAGTACGTAAGTAAGTAGATATCCTTTTACGTGACGATTAAACATTTCAAGGCATCTTCATTTCAGGTACTTAGCACTTTACAATCGATAGACAATAAAACTAAATACAATCGTAGCATAATTTTTTCATCAGAGTTAACAATACTAAAAATGATGGACTTTAAGATACCGATTTGTACCTCATTAAATTGTGTAGAGGTACTTCTAGCAGCCACAGGCCTGCGAAATACACCTAACATGGAAAATTTATCGGTGACTCTATTAGACTTAATATATTTACAGGTATGAATTCGTAGTTCTTTAAATCTATTATAAACTGCATAATTAATAAAAGAGGTCTGTCCGCAGCGAGAGAAGCTGTATTCTCATCTCCAGTGCCTGGCTCAAGGACACATCGCAAAGACTGATCAAGAGAAGAGGAGTCTCATGACCCTAGAATCAAATTCATTATTTCTAGCAGCTGCGGTCGTTCTCTGCGGGACATTTTTTACTAATATAAATGCTCAAACAGCGAAAGTCATCGCCTCCAAGTTGTCTAACTTGGTGGACATAGAAGCAGACAATATTTGGGATATGGCCAATATCCTTCTTGTACTGGCAATTCAAGAATAAATGAAATTTTAGAAAACAAACTACGAGAATACTCGTCTTTGAATTCCATTGCACGTACTTCGTCTATCCCTACGAGTTTACGTACTTCTCGATAATCAATAATTACTTGATTAAACACAACGTTGAAAGTATCAATGATTTCATACGGGATTGAATTGCGTTGCTGCGTCGAAAGGAGCGCCCCCGCCGTCTATGTGCGGAATTAAACAGACATGTCGCCGAACGTATCCGATGGATTAATGATTCTCTGCAAACATGTAAATAAACTGTTGCTGTTTAGCTGACCAGTTCGTGTTGACGAACCTTACACGAATCCTGCAATATGTGTGTAGCTACATGTATGGCTGTTTGTCCAAGAATCCAAAGGTGGGTGTGCATGTAAGATCCGACGTGTCTGTGTAGCAGACAGAACGTATGCAGCATTGCACATCGACTTTTTTTTTCTCCCCTTAATCGTACGCAAATTTGTTACTGGCCACGCAATCTTCCAGTATATGGTCCCTCCCAAAAAATTTACATTTTTATCCGACCCCCTTCTGATTCTACTCAAATGTTTGTAAAGCACTTTACAAGCATTATGAGTATTTGGTCTATACGTCAATGTGACAGTCGGTCATTGTTGGGTGAAGGGTATTGCTTCCGCAATACGTTTCTGCCCTCTGAAAATCACGTTTGACGATGATATGGACCATTCTATTTACATGCCGTACCATGATTGATAAGGACTCTCGTATAGGAATTTTCCAGTAACGTATTGTCTCAGTGGTTATCTGCATAAAGGAGCTCTGACCTTCCGCCTCGTTCTAACATGTTCTCCCTTATTAATCTATTTTCAAGAGTTCTGAATTTCTTGCAGATGAACGTTCCACTGTATGGGCTTCTTGGAGTTGTGACAGCTCTGCTTATATATCTGGTCGGGATCGGTACGATTGTGAAGCTGTTCATTTGCCTGTTAGCTTTAATTTTAGGGTATGATCGTGTCCACCATTGAAATCCGAATGTCCGAGACTATTGTATTCACGTACATTTTATTGCAGAACAATCACCTGTGTGTTTAGAACGTACGGCCCAAACCTAGACGAAGTCATTTCCTCTGAGAGGGAAGATTTGAATAAGAAGACTGAAAAGCTTCGGCAGGTAAACAGTAATACAACGCTTGTACATCATCGATGATTCACAATTCGTCTAACTGTTGTTACGTTTGCAGTATATTCTAGAACTATCGAAGGAGAAGTTGAATTTTACTTTAGATAAAAGAATCACTGGCAGCCGTATTATCGACGATTCCTTGCAAGTACATACGCAATTTAAACAGTTTGATTACTATCGACTACTCTTTGTGTTATAATAATTTGGTGATTTGTAATTTGTTTTTGTGTAGGAGATATTAGATTTTATTATCAGAGATTATGTGGAACCATGGTACAGCATTATTACGGATGACGAGGAGTTCATATACTCTGTCCGGGACACTGCTCAAAAGATAGCTATCAATATTGCCAATCGGTACGTAACGCGGGCTACACTGAAGCCCTACATACGCGTAGCTTACTGTCTACTCTAAGAGTCTCTTGTAAAACAGAGTGAAAGGTGTGGACTGGATCCCTTACTTAACGACTCGTCTCGTTGACGATGCAGCCTCCCACGTGAGGCTGTATCGTCAAGCAAGAGCGAGGATGAAACAGCTCCGAAGCAAGAAACTACAGAAAGGCAGCGCGAGTTCGAGTACCTCGAGCGGGACCCCGAAGAAAACACCGACGCACAGGCGGAACAAGAGCGAAACCGACGTGTCTTGGTATTCTCAGTCAAAGTTTTACATTCCAAACTTGTCGTCCTTAACCGAGCCAATTGAAACCGGGGAAGAGAAGGAAGAGGAATCGCTGGAAAAGATATTCTTCGACTTGGAGGTGCAAATGGAGAACAACTTGATTTGCAGAGACCTGGTGTGCACGAATGGCACGCAGGAGTTGGAATTCTTAGGGGAGATATCCGAAATTCTGTTATATTTAGTACTACCAAAGGGGGACTTTGATTGTCTCACTGTCAGGTTTATATTAAGGGAATTGTTAGTAAACGTAATCATTAGACCATTGTTGGATTTATTCTCTGACCCTGATTATATTAATCAGGCATGTATATGGCTGGTGAGTAGAAGTTTCATCGAAACAGCGGGCTTAAGTTCGGCCTTTAATTGCCGCGACAGGGTACAATCTGTACAAGATCATTTCTTTTAGTGCGGTAAAGAGGCTGGCTTGCCGAGCGACGTATTTTTAACGGTGATCAGAGTCACGGATAGCCTGGACGAATTAATAGCGACGAAGAACATAGTCTGCAAGGAGATCGCTCATTTGCGTTCGAAGGATTCAGGCGGCGGGGACGATCTGTCCGTGAAGCAGCAGCTGAACAGTCTGCTGTACGTGAAGAAAATATTGGAGACCAGGATCATAGGTATGCAAGAGGGTCTGGAGACGGAGAGCGAAGGGATGGGTGCTCAACCGGAATGGAATCGACTGCTGATGCCCGGGCAGAAGCTGGTCAACTTACCGTTGGACGAGCTGCTGAAGAACAATATAGCGCTCAGCTATTTCATCGACTACATGACGTCTATAAACGCAGAATCGTACTTGTACTTTTACCTGAACATCTACGGCTGGAGGGTGTCCGCCGAGCAACAGATCTCCGACATAGAATTGCAGAAGCTGCACGCGGCTCAAGCGGGCAGTTCCGGTTACACGGGGACGAAACGGAAGAACCCGGATCTGGAGAACCTGAAGGAGGCAGCCACCAAGATCTACCAGCAGTACCTCAGCGACAAGGCGTCGTCGAAGCTGCAGCTGGACGACGCTTTAGTGAAGACGCTGTTGACCAGGATCAAAACCGAGTCGGTCAAGGAGACATGGTTCGACGAGCTGAGGCTCTGCTGCTACGAGAAGCTGCGGAACGAGGACAGATTTCTGCCGGGCTTCAAGAGGTCCGTCGCTTACGTGAAGCTGCTCGCGGAACTGGACTTGCTGAAGGACCCGACCTCGGAGGAAGACTCCAAGTCCCTGGACAGCATCAGTTTGTCCAGCACGAACAACGAGCTGGAGACCCTGGACGAGATGTCAGAGATGTACAAGTCGGAGGAAGTGAAACCGAGCGACTCGCTGAAGGACAGTAAATTTCGATCAGGCTCGTCGACCAGTCTGGCCAGTATGGCGGAGGCTAATGAGGCCAGACCGGTGGACGAGACCGACGCAGAGGTCAACGCGAGGACCGTCAAGACCGTGAGGAAGATGACCAGCGTGGACACCGACCAAGTGACAGAGGGCAAGGACGTTTCCTTTTTCATCGAGTCGAACGCCGATCAGTTCGTCAAGCTGGATGAAAACACTTACGACCGTAACGCGATCAAGAAGCTTCAGCAAGGCCGGTTCGAGATCACTGCGAGGATCATAGAGACCGGGGTCGTGAACGACCGTGGGAAGACCTACGGCATCTACGCGGTAGCCGTGACCAAAAGCTACGACTCAGGGTACCAGGAGAAGTGGCACATTTACAGGAGGTACTCAGACTTCCATGATCTCTATCAGAAGATCAAAGAGAAGTACTACGATCTGGCCAAGATCCCTTTCCCGGCGAAGAAAGCTTTTCACAATATGGAGAGGACCGTTCTAGAGAGGCGTATGTTGATGCTGAACGCTTGGCTGCACCAGCTGACCAAGCCAGCGATAGTCGACGGTCACATGGGCCTACAGAATTTGCTGCTCAACTTTCTGGAGCAAGGGGACTACGACAAGGGGGTGACCGGTGGACAGATATCCAGAACGGTGAGTACGATACGATGAACGGTGCTCAGGCTATTTTGCAACGAGGCCCTCAATGTCCTCTTCAATACAGATAGACAGTTTGATGAATCCTCTGAAGACATCTATGAAGTCTATGACCCAGGCGGTGAAGACCATGCCGGATAACATGTTGAACACGGTGGACGGTATGATGGACAACATAAGTAAATTCTTTGGGAACCCGAAGAAGCCCAGCGGCTTCTACGAGAACACCAAAGTCAGCGCTAGTCTGGACATAGAGGTAAAGAAGATCAAGCTATAGCCGCGGACCGAATAAACTAAACAGCTCTATTAATGTTTTCCTATTTACAGACCGACGACAATATTCCTCTGCGCATAATGTTGCTGCTAATGGACGAGATCTTTGACTTGAAAGTGAGAAACCAGTGGCTCAGGCGACGGATCGTCACCCTGTTGAGGCAAATCATTCGCACCATGTTCGGCGACATCGTGAACCGTAGAATAGTGGAGTACGTCTCCCTGTTGACTAGTCCGGCGAAAGTCGCTGGATACCTGAAGATGTTCAAGTGAGCAGAATTGCGTTTGTCCTTCGGCAAAGCAGAGTGAACGATCTTTAGGAAGACCTAAAGAAAGAGCATTGTTTCAGTTAATTCTACTCTCTAAAATTGACCCTAAAATTCATTCGTAAGTTCTACGCACTGCGCCCAAGGCGCGCCTAGCCAGAATCTACTCTGCTTCGCTAGAGAATAACGCTACAACGTTCATCGTTCAACGTTTTCTTTGGATAATCCGATGGATCTCTGTTGTCCGCAGAAATAGTTTCTGGCCGAACGGCGTCAAGGCAGAGAGGAAACCACCCCGTGACCCCGAGACGAAGGACAGGACCAGGGTCGCCGCGAAAGTTGCTCTACTGTCTTGCCTTTCCGACGAGTTGAAACATATCATAGGCAGCGAGACGACCAGGCGTGGTCTTCTAAGAGTGTTCGAATTGTTCCAGCGACCGGTGCTGAACAGAAGGCTATTGTACGTACTGTTGGAGGGGATCGTCGAGACGCTGTTCCCCGAGAACAACCTGACAGACATTTTCCAGAAGCTCTACTCTGTCTCGCCGAGGGTGCAGAGCAAGGTGCACGCGAAGAAGACCTGCTAACCTCGAAGGAAACTGGAAGGCGGCTAAGCTACTTTTACGATTAGAGAGAGATTGCTCACCGACGATCCTGTTTCGTTACTCTCAGAAGGATCTCCACGACGAAAACACGAGCACGCCGAGAGCGCACCCGTTTAACCTGTTAACCGTGTGAAAACAGCAACGACTCTAGCTAATTGTATCGTTGATACGCGCACGGTACAATTGATCGTCCCACGTGTGACGCGATTCGACAGCCTTTCAGCTGAATAAATATACAAACGAAAAATCGAGTACTGCGAATGTGCAGTTGACGCGTCTTCGCCGGTTAACAAGTTGATTCGCGCCTAGGAGAATTGTAAATTAAGATTCGACTTTTCAAATGTACACTGTTGCCTGCTTATAAGTGCACCATGCTAGACTGCCAGCCAGATTCTAGAGAGCAGTGTGGTAGAGTGTAGACTCTCACTGTCTCTCGCCATTGGTCAGATTGAAACAAGTCCTGTCTACAAAAATCGGCACGAATGTCCTTGGCGTAGTGGAAACGTGGTGTGTGTGTGTGTGTGTGTGTGTGTATATATAGGCAGGTAATACTATGTACTCTCTACGGTCTCGACGCTTTGCCCCCTTCTCTTCAATTGGTTCTCCGTCGGTGCTCCCGGGAACTCGTCGCGAGCACCGAGACGAACATGTATTTCAACTGGGAACAAAATGAAAGTTTTTAGGCTTTCGCGATCACGCCTCACCACGATTTCTACACGTATACATGTATATTCGACGATAAGTAAGCGAAACAAAGCAGCACCGAGCGTAGTTGAGGCATGCGGCGAACGACAGCGACCGCCGTTGACCGTCACGATTCTCGTCGACGCTTTTTACACTTTTCAGTTCAACGACCTTTCCCCTAGAAATCGACTTAACCGCGTCGACTTCCGAGCGACTCGAATCTGTTTACCGGTCGAACGATAGTTGATTAATTATCCGTTAATCGATGAATTATCAATCGACCGGCGTAGAATCGGTTCCGCGAACCGGCCCCAGGTAGCTCCTACACCGCGAGGCGTCAAGTTCGCTCGGTCCAGCTGTAAGATTCAGTGGCCAAATGAATTTCTCTCGATATTACGTAGGATTTAACGTGTTACGGACACACGATCCCTTTTGCAATTACCTCGTGTAGGAAACACCCGTGTAATTAAGGATTCAAGCATTCCATACGCATTTCACCGATGTACTTCTTTATTCGACTAACAGGGACCGATCCCTCGTCGCGTGTACGCCGGCCGAATAACCGACTCAAGCCGCGCCGACGAACACTTAACACACAGACGAAACGAGGACGCGCCTCGGTTCGTCGTTTCTAGCGTCAAGGAAATATCCTATACTTAATCCGTCGGGACACGTTCGTGCCATTCTCGCGTAGCGTCTATATTTATTTATTCGCAACATTTGTTCGGAACTCGATCGACTTTTCCACGGTTATTATATACATACACATACATCACACATACATGTATATACACAAACCCATTCATACAAGTACATACACATACATCACACATACAAGTACATACACATACATCACACATACAAGTATATACACATACCACATTCATACAAGTATATACACATACATCACACATATACGTACACACGCGTATACATGTATAGTGGCATACAGGAAATGTGCGGGTGTGTGTACGTATATACATATATACACGGAAGTTCTTAATGATTATTCCTTAGTCCGACGGACACTGTAAAATTGTTGTAAATGTGTACGATTGTACATACAGTTATTTCTATCGTGTTGGAGCTCCATACCTATCACGTTTACTTATTAAAGCAAATTGTTTATAAAACCCTGTCGACTGGATTTTATTATTCTTCCGTGTTCGACGAGAGAGTTCCCTCCAGTTCTCAGGAAAGGTGCGAAAGAAGAGGACGAAGAGAAATCTGTTCGGTACCGGGGGTGCAGGGAAATGAAAGTCTTCTGGTTCTTCGGATCCGATCGCAGACAATATCTGGCAACGGCTAACAGGAACCGCTGTGAAATCAACGAATGCGATTAACCCTTTGAACTCTGTAGACTCGAACATTGCAGCAGTTCTAATACGACATATTCGAGTGAATCTTAAAGAAACTACCCTGATAGATCATTTAGTGTCTTCTGTTGAAGGTCTTGTATATTTCTAAGAATCTAAGTCGCGAACAAATGATTCAATCGGTGAAACAGCAAGAGAGCAGCATGTAATTTCCCGTTTTCCTATTAATTAACTGATATTTCATTTAACCCTTAGCGCTCCAGGTTATTTTGTAATCTAACTGCAACTAATTTTTATAGTATTCCTAGCGAAAATGAGAAATGCTATAACATTTCTTCTATTTTCCTTCTTAGTATAAAATCTGGATGTGTGGAGAATCTAATAATTTTAGGGTAGTTTCTTTAAGATTCATTAAAATATTTAATATCATAACTGCTGCAATATTGGAGCCTACAGAGTTCAAAGGGTTAACTTCATCTGTCGAAGACTTCGTACATCTCAAAGTATCTTCGTTAACCCCTTGCCCTACAACAACGAATGAGGCCCGTAGTGAAGATATTCAACATGATTCAACAAATATCTATATTACTTCGTTAATTCGAATTCAAAATAAATATTATTCCTCTGTAATCAACTATTATACTTAAAAGGAAATATAGGAATAACATATGCTTAGAATTTTTCTCTTTTTCCAATAAATTATTCATGACAAAGTAGCCGTACCGGTGAGAGTTGAGAAAGAAATCATAGGTCAAGGGGTTAAAGGGTTAAAGGTCTGAAGCTAGCTTCGCTTCCCTAACGCTCGACCCGTTCCTCTTCCACTCCTGCGTCCTCTCCCGCATCCGGCGCGTTCGACGTCTTCGTCCCCGCTTCTCCGCGGTGGCAACGTTCGCCTCCGGTTCGCAATTACCCAATGGCCACCGTAATCGCCCGGAATTGGCCGGGCTCGCCGCGCGAAACGGGAGAGGGTGCGCGCGGCGTGGTACAGGGGGCACGAACAGAACGGGCAAAAACAAAGGGGGTTTATTACCGTGGCCGGGCCAAGTGGTGGCGCGAGATTAGGGGGACAGGGCGCGGGACATTAAGTGAAAAGAAGGGT